TCACCGAACAACATTTGGGAGGTTGAGACCTGGGCCTGGGCGCTTGCTGAACTGCTATCGCTCTCAAAGAATTCGACCTCGGTCTGTTCAATCGCCTGCAAAAGTGTGGCACAGAATTCGAGACCCTTTTTGGTGCTCTTTTCTTCCTCCTCCATGTGCTGGCGAGTGGTCACGTCGAGAATCGGACCGGCAGCAGCGCGATGGGTCAAAGTGTCGAGCTTTTGTTGAATGTGGTCTAGATGGGCTTCAAATCAACTGTTGTACTCGCGATCAACTCTCGACAGGCATGTATAGCCTGGGTGCTCGTAGCAGACGTGCGGCTGCGAAGGCACATTTGTTAGCCAAGTTAATCTAAGTAGAACAGTGTACTGACAGATTCGCGAAGCTTATGACAACTGTGATGGTGGAGTTGTGTCTAATCAGCTGCTGCCGAAAGCCTTCCAAACCATCGCTCCCGTTGAACTTCAGTTTAGCCCAATCGCGGAAGCTTGTCCGGTCAGGGCTAGAGCGTGAGCAGGAATCAAGCAGCTGGGCTTCAACCTCATCACATGACTGTCGGCACTGTGTAAGCGTGAGTGTGAGAGCTGTAAGATCAACGTCAAGCTGGAGATCGCCGGTCTCAGAGAGCTTTCGAAGGACCAAATTCAGGCTTGCGAGCTCCGTGAGGAGCTCTCGAACTTGATGTGGATGGGAGCGGATGTCTTTGATCGTTTCGTAAAGCTTCGCGCTGGACTTCAGGGCAGAAGCGGCCAGGGCTAGAACGCCAGAACTCAACCCTACGATCTCCGCCATTTTGACGATAATATTCGCGGTGTACACAAGGATGAAGTTTGAGAATGCATCGGAAGAATCAACGAGGTGGAACACGGAACAAATACAGCAATGCAAGCGCCCAAGAGGAATGAGGCTGTTGTCCCGATATTGCCGCGCGGTTAGTGTGAGCGTTCATCACGATAGCCACGAGCGTAGCAGAAGCGGAGGCTCACATCGTCAGTGCACCAGAGCGATTCACGAGAAGGGCTATCAAGCTTTGGACGGATCTCCACGCACTGCCCGAGACCAACCCGCTTCGAAAACTGACTGCTCGCATGCGGAAGTTCAGGCGTTTCCACCGCTCATCATTTTTCCAACTGGCAACTGCGCTCAACGAGATTCCAATGGAGAATCTGGAAACCATCAACCCATTCACACTTCCGCCGTGGATGGGAAGAATGTAGACAATTGCCGAATGGAAAGACGACCTAATATTATCGCGTGCCGACTAGGACGCGATGGTGCGTATCGCCGTCAGCAGCTCGGCACGAAACGAGCTGGTTGGGGTCGGCGGCGTCATCGAAGGACCAGGAATGGTGCCCGAGACGTTTTCATTCACCCACGGCATGAGGACCGATTAGAACCCATTTTTCGGAGAACTCGTGGCTGTGGCGTACGCGCTGCGGCTTCTGCCACACCTAAGGGGCCAAAGTGTATTGTTACTGAAAAGTAACAGGGCCGCGGCGCTGACACTTCGAAACCCCCGTCAACAATCTGGACAAGAGTACGTTCGCTGCATCTACGAAGCGGTCACTCGACTTCGAGAGACCGGGAACATCATCACAGCCGTTTGGCTCCCTAGTCATCTCGAGGACGACCTCCTGAAGAACGCGAAAGGAGAAGCACGCAAGTGGAGCCGAGAGGGCGCCTCACCAGAAAAGCAATCCACGAAGATGCGGTCCACCACCCTAATGCTGCAAGACGCAAAATACGTGTAGAGAGACGGCTACCAAATAAGGTAAGAAAACTCTCGAAGCAGATAGATTTAGCCCTACCTGGCAAACACACTCGAGAACTGTACGACAACCTCTCCTGGATAGAAGCGAGCATACTGGCTAAGCTCAGGACGGGCATGGCGAGACTGAACGCTTCACTCTTCCGAATCAGAGCAGTACTTTCGAATCAATGCGCATGCGGGCAAGCGAGAGAGACGGTGGAGCACTTCCTCCTCCGATGCACATGGGCAACACAACGTGCCGAGATGCTCCTACGAGCTGACACACAAAGAGAGATTGGCGTCTGGGACCCTTGTCAGGGATCACGCATTCTCCAAGCGGCCCGTGGCCTTCGCAAAGCGTACACACACACAAGTTTATTACGCCTGTTGGCTGGCAAGCCAATAAGGCACTATCATACTAATACATGGTTTCTCCTGCCGTGATGTACCGTTTCTCAGTATCCCCTACCTTCTATCTTCCCGCTTGTCCTTGCAGTTCCCTCGTTCGAAGGTGTTCCCGTGGTTTTAATTGTATTAGCAGGCATGCTTGAAGGCGATTCTCCAAGTGTCCAGAGTCCTATCTACGGCGACTGAAGCGACGCTTGCTATTTGAGACACGGGGGTGGGGGGTTAGTGACGTGTTGGGCCCAGTCCTGGGATCACGCATTGTCCAGTCGGCTGGTGGCCTTGACAAATCGTATCGTCGCTCTGACTGCTTGCATGTTTGGCTTCCAGTCTTCTCCATCCGATCGGGCCTTTCCTCCGAGATAGAAAGATACATTGTTGCTTTGCGTATCAAGGCAGTGAAGGATCTCCGCTCGCTGTGTCGTCCACTGCGTGCATCTCAGTAAATAGTGCTCTACCGTCTCAGTTGCTTGTCCACATCCGCACTGGTCGGAGGGCACCGCCTTGATCTGATGGAGGGATCCATTGAGCCGCGACTTGCCAGTCCTGAGCTGGGCTTGAATGCTTGCCTCCATCCAAGTACAGTTGTCGTACAGGGTCCGAACGTGCTGGCCGGGGAGTGCAATGTCGATCTTCTTCGAGTATTTCCCGACGTTGTCGGGGAGCTTTCTCTCTTGGCGCAGTGTTGACCTCGCTGTGCCGAGGACTGTGGATCGCATGTTTGGGAACTGAACGACGTCGGTGGTGCGCTTGCCTGGCTTGCTTTCCGCGCTTCCTCCTTGGCGACTTTCAGTAAGTCATCCTCTACGTCCGTGGCGAGCCACAGGGTTGTTACTGTGTTCCCATCTGTTCGTGCCTTTCAGTTTCCTCGCAGATGCATCGCGCATACTCCTGGGCCGATTGCTGTCGAGGATTTCGAAGAGTTAGCACAGCAGCCTTGCTGCGCGTCGCCAGCGCTATGTCCCGGTGTCTTGGTCCACGCAGGGACCTCAAGGCATACGCGGCGGCCGCCAGCTCCCCGCGAACACGTTTTGTCCACTTCGCTCGCCGAGAAGAAATGAGAACTTGACCAGCTTGGGGCCTCCTTGTGACACTTGAGGCATCTCGACAACGCCTCCCACGCCTACCAGGTCGTTGCGCGCGGAGCTGCTCACCGCGATTCGTACATTTCCGTCTCGATGAGCTTCGGACCATGGCTCCACCTCAGCACCGTCGACTATGGTGTTTATCCGTTCGGTCCATGGTGCAACGGCGAAAGGAGCAATGGTCTCGAGTTCATCCACCGGCAGGTTCTTGAGCGCAGTGGCCACCTCGAAGAACGGAGACCGGAAAACCCGCCGAAACTTGCGCATCTGTTTGCTCAGCTTCCGCAAAGGGTTCGTCTCGGGTAGCGTGTGTAGGTCCGTTCAGAGCTTGGCGGCTTTCCGCCGGAAGCGTTCCGATGTGCTGGGGATGTCGGCTTCTGCTTCGGCCACGGCCGTGGCCACTGTTGCGAACGCGCCAATGATGGCCTGCGCGCCCACCTTTTGCACACGGTTGACGGCTGCTGCTATCCGATCCTTACACCGGTGCCTCCAGACGCTGGAGGCGTAGTCCACTGCCGGCGCCACCGTGCTAACAAAGAGTCGTCGTGCCGTCGCCGGTGTCAGGCCTCGAAGACGCTTTAGCTCCATAGCCGCCTCCAACCCCTTCGTGGCCGCGCTCGCTATGTGTTCCTTGTACCGAAGTCCGATGTCCATGATCATTCCGAGGATCTTTGACGTGTTGTTTCAGCTCCACAGTCTGGCCCTTGATGGTAAAGGGTTCTGGGTCGCCCTCTTCGCCCACCGAGTGAAGTGGATGATCGCTGTCTTGTCGGCTTCGAATGTCGCTCCGCTTCTTCTCTCCCACTCCAAGGCCTCTTCGATGACGGTCTTGATTCTTTCTCGGTTGTGCTTCGTGCTTGGCCCGGCGACCCATGCCGTAAAGTCATCAACGAAGGCTACAGCTCCGCCATAGCAGTTGATTTTCCGTTGCACCAGGTCTGCGTTGAAGAATAGCCCGTGTCCGCGGACTTATCTGACCAGCCTTTGCAGGAAGGCTACGATGGAATACCGTTGATCATCAAAAGCAGGCTAGTCAATTGTGGATTCATCAATTTTGGAGAGACAGCAAGCGTGAAATCACTGCTGAACGAAATCTACAAGTATCTCAGGTGGTGGGAAGAAGCTGTCTGTATGTAATCCTCTCAAAGGTCGTATTGGATGGGTCGTCCTCGTACGGCTGTTATGTTGCTCCAGGTTAAAGAAGGTGCGGGCGCGGGCAGGAAATCAGAGGTTTAGTGGCCGGGGGTACCAGCTGGAATTGTCAGTCTCGAACATGGCTATGACGTTCGCCGCTCACCTAGCAGCTGGCTGATGATGTCCCCTCAGGTCTAGTCCATCCAAATGATCTCGTCTCCGAATAGAACCATGGAAGCACTTTGCGGAGGACGCCCCTGCTTCCATGAAACTCCATGTAGCCTTGCGAAGCAAACGCTTTCGACGCATCGCTTATAGGGGTTCCTGATGACAAAGGACGATGGAATGATTCATGGCTGCTGCCGTCCTTCATTTGTTGAAGGCTAGCCTAAACCCGCCTGCGTTGTCATTGGCGAAGCACTCAAGCTATTCTACATCGCTTTCTTTCTTCTCACATCCAATTGAGGAGTAATGTGATGACCGATAATAGCAGCATTCATTGTAGTCATATGGGCCACAGCCTTGCCGCCAGAGTCGCGAGTCCAATACCAACCACGGTACTACACTCGGCCCCGCCACTCGTCTCATCGTATCGCACAGACATAACTCCCGTAGAAGTCTGGAAATACCTGGAGCCACATTGTCTAGAGCATAGGGGGAGGGTACATTAGCCATAAATCGAGCCACACTGGTCAGATCTTGGGCCCGCCGAAAGGAGTGGTAGGGGGGGTCCGGTGAGGAAAGCCTGAGACACACAGAGGCTAGAGCAGGGGTAAGTGGCACATCACATCCGACCCTAAGGCGCATTTTACAGTAGGGGGGCAGGGGCTTGCAGGGGTTCTCAGACTCATGGCGTTGACTGAATCAGTGAGCGTGTATGGGCTTTAAGAACATACCTGGCACCTTCTGTTGGTAGTTCCATCCTCGGACGGCAGGACAGAAGCACGTCACGTTGCCGCAAATCCAGGTCGCTTGATTGAGTTCTTCAGGTAACGTCTTCAATACACCTGGGTATAAATGTAGGCGCCGGTGCTCATTTGAGCACCATGATTTAGAGTACGAATCGTTCGAACCAGTCGGAGCCATGGCTTCCCAACCTCTCTTTTGCAGACGATTTGACTTTATATGTCAACGAATAAGCCAGGTAAACCCCTGGATATCTGTCATTAGTTCACGTTTTCCTGTACCCGTAATTTGTTATCTCCACTACGATGGCGATGTTTTGTCAACCTCGGAATGCCATCGGAGCTTTTCTCAGAATTCGGAAGCCGGGCCGGCTGTAGTGAGCCGCCAGAAAGTTCAGGTTTTAGAACCCGCGACAAACTTGACAAAGGGACCCAAGAGCTGTACGTTTGTTTGAGACACTCTTTCATGAATGCATGCTAACACCTGTACATTAGTACCGTTCAATTTCTGTCGACTTGGCAATGGTTCGCCGGAATCACCCCCTTCCCGCCTGTAAAAGGCCAGACTACGACGGCGGAAGCATACTTCCCAGACAAACCTGACAGTATCCAGGCTGCACTACTTCCCTCAAACACAGTAGTTCCACTTACGAGCATCACTCGCATGGGGCAGTATCACGTTGTCCAGGCAACGTTCACATTGGAACAGGCCGAGGCGTTGGGAGATGCAACTGTCGGGTTCAAGGCGGGAGCAGAACTAATCGTGTAAAGTATTCAATTCAGGTTCGATGCTTTAATTTGTGCTGGACTTTTTTTCAGCATTTCACATCTGACCTCGGAGCTACCGTGGGGGCTGAACCCGCACGCATGTCAACCTATGTATTGCGTGAAAGCATTCGTTGATCGGGCAGTATTGATTTTGTCTGATGTAAAGTCCGCTGGAATGGAGAAGAGTAGACGAAAGCTGCTGAAGTACATGTAATGACTGCGTGGTGTGTCATGGTACGTTTGGTGGGGAGGTGAAGGGGATACACCAGGGAGCCGGCGTGGATTAGCTGGCATCGGGCGACTACTAGCAGTTAAGGCAGCGACCATCACCTTCACGCTGGAGAGAGATCTCCTCAAGGTATCAGGATCAAGGTCGAACTACAAGGGGGGTCCATGCTGTGTATTGCCCGCCTCCTAGTGCGGGTTCCTTCTGTCCTACCCCTTGTTTTCCAGTTGCTCTCTTCATGTTCAGCTCCATGAACGCTGGGCCCACGCAATGCATCAATGCCTCAGTGGAGTGTGCTAGGACTCCGCTCCCCACTAGTGAACTTTATTAGCAGGTTTGAGGGAGAAGAGTTGGCGGGCTGACGTCGCTGGCGTGAGCTATCTACCTGTGTCTGGCCTGTTCCCAGCCTGCTGGCCTTACGATCGCTGTCAACTCCTCTCAAAGGTGATGCTATCAGCCTGTATCCGGGCCTATGCAGAGCCGGAACAACCTTCATGCTGTTCAAATGTTTACAATTCTTCGTTCAGGTGGTTCGTTACGAAACCGTGGCATCCATTGAGGACCGACTAATAGCTGGCCTCCGCGTGAGAGGCAAGATCGACATTATGTCAGGATACCTCGAGAATAGCAGATGTCAAAACTGTGTTTACAAGTGAATAGACTCCAATTCAGGCATAGATAAACTAAGAGAAGCGTTCTTCGGTCTCCCTATCATCATAGCTAATATTAGCATGGCGTGGCGATTCCATGCACCTGGTAGCCGGACGGCTAGAGGTTCCCGGGCACCCTCCATTGACATACACTTCATCTTGTTCCGATCCTATAGGTTCTCTTCCTAGATTCAATCAGGGTTTTCACGTCGTGGTCCTGGTCGCAGCATCTCTAGCCGCTCGAATCGTGAGCAAGGAATAAGGTACTGGGGGCTTCGGTGGGCATCGGCAGCGCGTATCGAATTCGTCCTGGAAAATGTTTCTCAGCTCAGGCGACATTATTGATCATGTTCGCTACTCAACTAACTGGTAATATCATGGAGTGGACAAGAGCAACATCCGTATGGGGTCCTCATTGCCAGGGTTTGCTCATCGCTTCGCTATTCCTCCCTTCAATGTTTCTTGTCTCCGACAGCCACGGTCCCATACCCTGAGCATTGCGCCTTGTGATGCGCAGGTACTGAATATCTTGCCATACATGGCAGTTAATGGGCGTGACTGTGCTGCTTGCGCCTTTTCCACCCCTGTAGCCACTGTATGCAAGAAGCCCCTTTTGCAAATGGCTCCTCGGATCTTGTCTGCGCGGTGGATGTTTTGCATCACCTTGTTGCATGCCACCTGGTAGCTGTAGAGCTCGCTGGCGATGGTGATAGCAAGCTTTGGGTCCATGATTGGATAGACTAGCCAGAGCAAGAGGACTCGGAGCCCTTCCCAAAGACCCTGCAGTGAGGCCATGTGTGATCGGGCGGTCGTGAAAGCGTCCTGTTTTGAATTCGCATCGGCGTCTCCTGTTTCTCTACTTGACGTTAGTCGGCGGAATGACAATCGGGACACGAACCTACGTGGCTTCATCCCTCGCGGCTTTCGCACGCTGCGTCTGCTTTGCCGACGAGGCAAGTGTGACATAGGACCCATAGGCAAGGACCATTGCGGCGAGACTGCTCGTTGCCATGGCGTAAAAGAGGCCTAGTTGTGTTCGGAGGCTCATGGCGCCCATGACGATGGTGGACGGCGCTTTCAGCAAGCATACCTCAAGAAAGGCATTTGGCGCATCGGACTTCCGGATGCCTCGCTGATCTATGTTGATGGCGGCTTCCAAGTCGAAGGTGTCGCTTTCCAAGGCTCCGTCTTTCTTAAGGGCTTCGAACACTATATAGTCCAAGTGGGGGCCGATGAGAAGCCGCCATGCTACGTTCAGGATGGGGCGTGTGACGACGGTGCTCAGCCAGGTCTGGAAGCCCTCGTTTGGTGCACGTAGATGGACTATGAGAGGGATAAATTGGCCAACAATACAGAGGAGGAAGGCCCAACAGAGATAAAACAAGGATTTTGTCTGACTGGACGTCAGGCAGTGGCCGCGTCCATCACCGCTCCTAAGTAAAGGTGTCGCTTGATTCGCTGGAGGATTCATGGGGGACATGAGGCAACTACTTGGTCCGCGGACCAAGAGGTCGCTGCGGGGTGTCCTCCTTATCAAGCTCACCGACAGGATTCATGGCACCTACAGCGCGTATCATCTGGCCTGTCATCGGTACATCGGCTCCACAGACTTGCATTCATTTAACGAGGATCAATACTCTATCATGATTCTGGAACGGTTTCTCACGAACGCTTTACAGGGCAGATTCGACGCTGTAGCTCTCCAGCCAATCCCTCACGAGAACACTAGCCTATCATCCAGCCATCGAGAAGCCAGCCATGGCCTCCTGAAGGTCTTTCTCCTTATCTTGTACAAGTTCCTCTTCTACGGCTTCCAGAAAGTCATCGATATCCTCCACACGCTCGCTGGCAAATACAAAAAGCTTTCTGGCTATCGAGGGTTGCTCAGGAGCAACACTGGCGATGGTTTTCCACATCTTCCGCTGCAATTGTCAACTCATGGTATGGAACAGACATCGCGATGATACCTCGCCAACTTACGAATGATGCTTCCATCCGCCGAAAGTTTTCTTGTGATTTCCCATCGGCTTGATAAAGATATTGGCAGCGATTTTCGAGGTCGGCCCAGGCCAGGAAGTGATATGCTTCGAAGAAGTCCGACATCTTTGGCAGTTCGTACAGTGCCCTAACCGTCTCGATCGATTCGTCTGGGAGCTTTGGAATACAACGCCGGGCTAGATCACCAGCACACGGGGCTGGGATCCCGGCTAACTCAATGAGTGACTCGATGAATTGCGTCAGTACCTTGACCTGCGCATCATCCATTGGCACTGTGGATTGCGGTACGTCTCGGCAAGTGGTGTGAAGTCGGTTGCGTGGGCGCCTCTCTTGAGCAGGGGTCCATAGTCCTCGATTGGAGCTGCGCACATGGCGTGTGGTGGCTCGCCTGACGAGCTGTGAACGAGGTCTTTGAGCAAGGGCCATGTTGGAGATGGTTGGCCTTGGAATGCGATCTCTTGCAGGAAGGCAACCATGCACGTCGTGCATGCATCCCGCAGTTATATAGTAGCCCGGGCCTCCAGAGTGGTTTTCGTAGCCTCAGGCATGAATGCTGAACAATTTGCCGAAGACGGGAAGACCTAGGCGGGTATGATTGGAAGGAATAGCTGCACTTGGCACATAATCGTACATGGATGATACGGTCACACATCGCGATGGGAAAGAAGCTCAAGTATGGCACAGAATGGCTTCGCCTTCCGGTGGCGGTATCGGTAGCTATATACACCTAGGTATTTGGGCAATTCCTTACCACCAGAGTCCATCAGGTGGTCCCATGGTGTTGGCCGTCGAGGCTGGCTTTCAGGGCAATTGTGCTTTCCTTTGTATTGTCTCTCCGTGATCCGTTTTTTAGATCACACGCCCCTTGTTGCGAGGGAGTAATCGCACCAACACAACACAATATGTCGCTCATGACCACAGTTGTATTCTGTAAGCCTCATGTCGCACATGGTCTGGAGAGTTGCAGTGGTGACTAGATTGCCATTCCCTGAGCAGAGAATACTTACTATTCTGAGGAGGTGGATCCAGAATGGACAGCATACATACAAGATGTCAAAGAATGGAAGATGAGTATGTAGTGATGCTGACACGGCCGGATCCTACCCCATGCATGCTGATGCTCACGGCCTCTCGCTGGCGTAAGAGAATGCAGGGGTGGCCAGCTTGACGATGGGGGTCTCATTTGACCTTGGCACCGCAGAACCAACAGCACGATGCCAAGAATCGTCACGTTCCGGATGAATCGATGATGTATACAAAGTGTGATTCAGCTGTCAGGAGATAGGCATGCTGGCACGAGCCTCCAGGGGCTGGCCATAACCGCCTCGCAATGATCCATCATGTCTTGCCTACGCTTGGTCAGTCGCTTCGCTCGAAAAGAGGGAATTTTGGCCAGGTCTACTGAATCTCCGCTAGTACAGCCTTCTAATTATGATACAGGGGGCTTGTGGATTCATTGAGCCCCCAATAGGATCTCTGCACACAAAGCTCTGTCCTGGTCATGCACACCGGCGTGATGGCTCCGGGTCGAGGACTATGGGGACTTATCTCCGTTAATCAGACATCGACAGTGTCAGCACACTGATGAATTTGTCTCTTCCTCCATGCAAGGGTTCATTGCTTCTGATGAGTAGTATGGTGGCGTAATCCGGTTAAGGGGCAATATCATGCTTCCGTCGCTCCACCAACTAACAGGGAATGTGCAGTTTCCTTCACACCCCGACGGTGGGGTGCGCTCTCCTGCATATCCCCCGTGCAGCGATGTAATAGTGATACGCTTCGAATGTCGAAGGGGTATCATCATCCATTATCTCTGGGAGTGCTGTCCTTCCTGAGCACCCTGGTGTGGATGGGTGCGCCGAGACTCACTTCCCAACGATGGTAGCGGGGTTCTGACCACATGTATTCGGAGCCCCACCTCCACATCTGTCTATGTCTTACATTGGCTGCCGGAGAGTGGGACTCCAATTACATGTTCTACAGGACCCACTCACCCCATCCCGCCCTCCCAGGTCTCACACTAGTGCTTGTCCGTGCACGACGATCGAGTGGTTGAGAATACATGTAATGCCTGCCCCGCTGGGTAGTCAACCAGCCTCAGTCCCCGGTTTCGTGCCGTCCCCGAACCTCTCAGCCCACCATACCGAAAATGGGGGTCCAAGTCAGCCGAGAGTTTGCAAGCAGCTTAATCATTGCCTGCCAGAACGAGGCCAGCCCAAACTTGGGAGAGCACGTTTTGAGCCAGCCCGAGGTACACGTTCACAGGCCATGATGTATGGCGGCGTAACTGACGTCAGCAGTTTTTGCAGGCCGCTCTTGCATTTGCCAAGGCCGTTCGTGACTTTCCCGGACTGCCTCATGAAGTACGACTGGCCATAGAAGGTCGGCAGAGGAAACAACGCGGCGATCGGCTTCGAACTCCACGTCGAATCGTAAGCAGCCGGTCCAGTCTGGAAAAAGCGAGCCCCCCTACGCCCAACGACGTCTCAATGTGGATGAATGAACTCCACAGCACTTCAAATGGAGACCTAGCAGCCCAATTGTATGAGGACTTAAGCAAACTTCCCAGTACTGGGTCACTCAAGGAGCTCGCATTCAGGCGGATACGTCTTGTTGAGTTCTATCACCTCCAAGTCGATTTCTCTGCGAACTTCGTGCCTTGCAATAGCGGTCCTCTCTCAATTTTTTTGAGCAGACGCCTGGGGCTGAACATCAAGCAAGTGAAGAAGACATGTCAAGGTTGGTCAAGCGCCGGGCAACGACTTCATGATATCTCACAAAGACTCGATGGATATGGGGCCTTACTATTGCCTCATAATGTTGCTCGCACAACGTATGTCGCATCTTTGTACAGTTTGAATCTTACTGATTATGAGCTAGGTTGGAGAGTCACGTAGCGAATGATGAACATTTGGATACCGCTGTCAAGTCGCTCAGAGGATATGGTGTGTTTAAGAGCGAGGCGACGAAGCATTGTTTCGACGAAGCCAGTACTCTCTTCACCGCCCAAAAGTCTCGGAGGAAGGACCTCATCATGGCCTTGCGCCACAATGTGCCGCTCACACCGACCACAGGCCAAATCTCAATAGATCAGGTCGACATCGGCATCACCAGAAGTGCCCAGGGTCCAGACAGTATCGCTCTTTCAGGCTGGTATGAAGATATGAACAGCTGGTGCGGTATGGAAAACTTCGCGACAGACACGCACATTGAGTCTGGGCTGTCTGGGATGTCTAATCTGGACGACATCATGGCTCTTGCCGGGCGTCTTGATTCATGACCCAGCAATCTCAGGACCATTCTTCTTCGGTGTCGTACGAAATATTGTCGACAGCACACAGATATCGTGATCCTCGATATTAGCCTGTTTTGAAGCCTTTACACGCATTCCCTCGCCCGCCTCAAGCACGATGATATCTCCCACGTGACACGTAAAAGAAGACTCCATGCGTTGTGCTTCATGGACAGGCCTATCAACTATCCCTATACATGGCGGTTCTGGATCAGGGAGAGAGACCGTGTTTTCGTCAATATTTTCAGGGCTTCCAGGCTTCGGCCGCCGTAAAATCGTGAAAATTGCGAGCCGGTCGTTCTGATTTGTTACCCCACCGGCAACGAGCCACATGATAGACGGCTTGAAGAGTTTTTCAGGATGAATATGAATTCCGCTGTCGTCAGCTAGTCCGCGTAAGATGAGTGCCTGCCTCTCGGTGAGTGTTGAACTGCCTTTCGGGCAAAGATTTACAGACCATGTGCTCGTTGTCAAACAGATCAGCCAAGCTTTGACATTCTTGCGGTATTGCAGAACGCGACAACAATCTCAAATTCGATCTGCCCCCAGCGCAATAGAAATCTACGCGGTAGCATAGGATCTGTTCGGCAAGCATTTGGATGCTGCTTAGGCTACTGCAAACATCTGCGTAAACGAGATTTTCAGCCAGCCGCGGAATTCGACTTAGGCTACTGCGGAGGTCCGCCTCTTGGCACTTTAGTATAAGCATATGAAGGCCCTTCGCTGCTTGATCGACGTTGCCGCAGCGCAAGAGTGAGATAAGTGCAATATCAAGATTAAGTCATCTGAGGTCCAAATTGATATTTACAAGGTCCATGCGTGGTGACCAAAAGGCGGGGTCAACAAGGATGGAGCTCATTCATTTTGATTTGTCAGAAGGCAAGACCTGACAGCCTCGTGCCTGACTAAGCTACAACTCACCAACATCAATGCACGCTGGGCTGCACAACAGCCTGGGGGGCCTTTGGACATTTCATTCCGCCAAAGGTTCTTCCTGAGGAGTCGGTCACATTTTGATGGGGTCAGCATGACGGGCTTGAAGCGTGAGTTGCCAGACGGCGTTCTATAAATGAGTACATCTATGGCATTTCTTGGCACCGAGATGCCGGAGTGTCTGCTTTCCTGCGTTGAACTTCCTCTTTACTTCTTCTCACCGTCCTTCTCACCCTCCTCCATAATGTCGTCCAGGTTACTGTCAGCATCATCCTCCTTCAACATATCAGCATGGTTACAGCATCAGGATATATGGATGCTTACCGAAGGAGGTGGCGATGGGGGCGGATTGGGATTGGGAGGAGCTTTCTGCTTTTCATGCTCTGTAGCCATGACCTTGCCTGACTTTAAGAGGTTGATCATTCAGGCTTAGCCGGTTATACGCAACTGTTGCGGACAATGATGAAGAGGAACAACCAGTAAAAGCTTAGGAGGTTGTGCAGGAGATGTCGAATCTTGACCAGGGAGGTTGTCCTTATATGTAGTTCGGGGCATTGACTTGCAACGAGCTGTTCAACCTCTTGATTGGTGGTGAAAGTGCCCTGTAGAACTTTGGATGTGATTGCAGATTGTCCTAGTCGCGTCCATCGCATAGGTCACGGCCTACACCAGCCAGCTGAAATCATGCACGACGTCCAAGATGGGATCATGTCTGCGGATTGAGCTTCATCATCCCGGCGGCTTGACCGCTAGATGACTGCTGACCCCCGACGAGCAATGGACACCACTACGCCGGCCATGACCACGTTGGCGGCCTGGTATGCAGGCCACCGTCTAACAGGTCAAGAAGATATGCAGGCTGCCTGTCAGTTTTACTGCGGCACTGGTGAACCAGAATATATGGACGTCCTTGCTGATAACAAGGATCCTGGAAGCCTCACGTTTACATGAAGACGTCCTAGCATTTTGGACAACAGCTGTCAGATTGACGATTCAAGATATGATTGGCAGGAGTATCCAGAGTGAGTAGGGTATATGTGAGCACAGTGCTCGCATGGCGTCATGGGTCAAAACTTTGTCTTTATATTGCATAACAAGTCTTAGGGAGGTGTCACCACGAAATTGAACAAAGTGGATTGATTGTTGTTGTTATGGTACAAAAGGAGACTTTCCTGCAGTCACTCCCGGACGACCATTGTGTCACCACGGAATTGAACAAAGTGGATTGATTGTTGTTAAGGTACAAAAGGAGACTTCCAGAAGTCCAAACGAAGGTAATTGGTCAGATCCAGCATCGGTAAGGAGTCTTACCGGGGCGATAACGACAGAACAAATGCATCAAATGAGGACTCCACATTTGGGATGAAAGTACTCCTGGGTCACAGAACAGAACCTTGCCTGATCGGCAACACACCCCCTCAGATGGGTAGGCGAGCCTCTCTCTGACCATCTGAACCACGAAAGATCAGGCAGATGCCTGTTGGCGGCTTTTGGTAGAGAATTTGGTGCCTTTGGAACAGTTGGCGTTCTCAGGGCAGATGAAGGAAATCGTGCTTGTGAAGCAAATAAGGATGTGTGTAAGTGTTAGGAGAGGTGGGCGAAATTGAGCAAGCTGTTCACTGGTGGACCGCTGGTACGCACTCCATCTGCAGAAGCTTCACGAAGTTCTGATGCTTCTGAGTCGGGAGAATCTTTGTAAGCCCATCGCTCACTATCTTGTCAGTGCTCATCCAGTCCACGGATATCTTCCCCTGTCTGACTGTTTGTCGGATCCAAAGACGATGGATGTCAACATGCTTGAGCTTCGTAGTGGCTTGAGGCCTCTCACTAGTGAGTAACAGCAGCGTTTGGCGGTTATCACAGAACATCTGGATCGGAACCTTGCCATGAAAACGTAGCTGAAGCTCCTTGATCAGACGAAGAGTGGCAAGGTAGTTCCTCGCTGCGACACTGAGGGCCACCAGCTCAGCTTCGGTGCTAGAAGTGACCACGGATCGCTGCTTTGTAGCTTTCCAGTCAATTGGACCTCCAAAGAGCATGGTGGTGTATCCTTGTGAACTAAATCTGGTGATGGGATCATCGCCGAATGATGCGTCGCTCGCACAATACAGCGATGTAGAATGGTCTCCTGATCCTCCGTAGG